GTACGTTAATCCATACGTGACATACTTCCTGGATTAAGTCTTAGATTGTATTGTCCTAAGTTCCGGGAATGAGGACTTGAAGGAGGAAAGGAAACTTCTGTCTATGAGTTACTTTTTAAGGACCCAGATAGATTCTTTGTTACGAAGCAAATGGGGCTAACGTAACTGATTTGGCTTTAAGATTAAAGACGCCTACATTATCATCCCCCGTGACCTCGCTGCTACATATTATTAGAAACCTAGTTAAACACAAGTTCACTTATATATATCGCGTTTTCAACCGTTAAAATTGTTTGTATAAACTAAGCAATATGTTTTTTGTATTCTATAGCAAGGGTCAATCAAGTTTTATAAAGTTCAAGTTACATAGGACGAGATAGGAAAATTATTATTCATTGTTTTAGTATTTTACATGTTGAATTATGCATAGTCTTGTCGGTCAACGATGCTGAAGTTTAATATAACTCGTGGCCTCAGATCAACAAGTGAATACTGAATGAATGGCGAAAACTTGTAAACACAAAGATTAATGATGGTCTCAGAAAAGCTACTATGTCATAAAGTTGACATACCGTATTAATTTCTAGATTTAGGCATTTATTCCGATTTATCAATATGTCGTTAAGTCTGACTCCATTTCATCTATAGAGTTAGGCGCAAAATGGCCTAGGTTCGAATTTAAATAAAACACTTTAACAGTTTAAAACGCGATGCATATTAGTTAAACTTATTTGAAAATTATATTAACAACGGTCCGGCGTTTCGTTTGCTTTGCAGCAGCCGTGGGATACGAGGAAACGTCGGGCCGTCGTTATCGCGTTTTAAACAGTTAAATTGTTTTATTTAAATGTATACTAGTCGCGTACTACAGAGAGTATCTAGGTTCGAATCTTAAATTTCGAGGAAAATTTTAGATTCGAAATCGAATAGTCCAAAAGCCGAATGTATAAATGTCTAATGTACTTGTCTAAAAATAAATTGATGTGAGAAGTGGCTATAACTACGAGTCTGCCCCATTGTATACATCTGATAACATTTTCTTCTAATACCTAGTAAGCAGACATAAAAACATTTTGCGTGTTATCTAACCCCCTTCTACCCGATTACGTAATGTTACAATATGCTTCGGTTGATTATCTAAAACCGTGCCAAAATAGTCAGGGCCTTTACCATTACAGTAAGTGAAAAGGGAAAAAAAATTAAAAAAAAAAAAAAAAAAAAAAGGGAAAGGGAAAGGAAAAATAGGAAGATACAAGGGACTATTGAAAAGCAAGGATTAATTCGTTTTATTTCAAAATATTTATATTTCTCTTGTAACCTAACTATACATATATTTTTTTGTTAAGAACAAACTATATTAATAAAGTTTTCAGAATACAGTAGGCGCTTGTGAAAACAATAATAGTTCTACCCTCTCTTTAATGATAGCGTGTTAGGCAACAACACGAAATGTGTTATGTATTAACATAGATGTTATATTATCATTACAACTATGTATGACCTTCAATCGTTCAAAAATATACCTAAGGGCAAAGACTTTTTCCAATAATTAATTCTTATATTCCTAGATAGTATTATAACTTTTTTTAAATCGACAGTGACATACAGTGAGAACTTTTGTTTTTTATACAGAGACTAGTTGCAAGAGACGGTGGAAATTTCTCCACTAGCATTCGATTTCGTTTTCGAATCCCTAACAAACGGAATCTAGCTTAATCTACTCAGAAAAGGCCTTTAATCTTTTAGTTTTTTGTAATTTTCTACATTTACTGTAAATAGAACTTCTATTGATTTTTACAGAGTAGATATACCTAAGTTATTATAATTACATTTTTCTAGCGCATGCCTCAGTGTCGAGCTATCCTATTTAAATAACTAAGCTATTTATAGCAAGGTTATCTTCGTAGCATCGTAGCATTTCGTAGAACGCAACTTTTAAAGAAAAAATAATAATTCATCGCGCAGTGAAATATCGTTCTTCGTATCATGTAAATATTATAAATGCGACTCTGGTTGTTGCTTTTAGACAACACTTCTGTTATATGTACCTAGTAAGCGGGCAAGTAAGACATTATATGTGGCCACTAGAGGCAGAGTAGCGTAACTGCATTGTACTTGACTTATATATATTTTTATGGTCTATAAATATAAGAGCACAGTGACCGAAAGTTGTTAACATAATTCTTACACAAATAAGAGTGAAAATTCATTTTCACCTGAGTTAATAGCGCATTTTCATTTTTCTCCTTATTGAAAGTCATGTCTTTGTAATTATGCCACTCTGCATCTAGTAGCCTCGTGTATAAGTGGTCTTAGTGCAGCTCAATTGTTCAAAATCGGTAAAGCCTTTTGGTATTACCAAACGCTCATACATCTCTCCTAACAAACTTTCGTCATTATGCCGATACACGCTTACTTGAAAAACAAACCGGCAAGGACTGCTATAGCTACATAAAAATCTCAATAGCATGCACAGATTATGTTTAATTTACATACCGCTAAGCGATTTCCCGCGTCGCAATACAAGTTTCGTTACGACCAATGAATGGGACGTCGTTTCGCGAACTGTTGTCGAATACTCTGATACAATTTGCGCCTTATTCGCGACCAGTCGACTGCGCAGGCGCGTGGTCTATGACGTCAATGGGTTCTTTCACAAAATAGTAAATACAGGTATATTCATGCCGCAACGAGTTAAGATAGAGTCTGCGATGTAACAAAACAAATATATTATTAGTTAAGTTAAGAGAAAATCTTCAAAATTTATTTAGACGGCTCGTTACTCCAATAGTAGCAATGTATGGCTCATAATCAATGGACCGTGGGTTCGATCCCCACCGGGTTCAGCATGTTTCTAATCAATTTATTCCATTTCTGTTAAATAGAATTTCCACCCGGGAACGCCACCCTTCACAATAAAACACCCGTAAAGCATACATTAAATTTACGGTTTCAGTCTGTGGATTTCTGAATGTCCAAAACCAAAAATAGAGCGACAACGCATCTTGTCTAGATGGTACATGGCTGGAGTATTACAACTACGAATAAGCGCAACTTATGCTTGTCGCTCCTTTTCTAAAAAAAACACATGGAGCTGTTTAAAAATTACCCAACCCTTGTTAACGGGTACTGTTAAACAAATCTCTTAACGCCTTTATTATTAAAACTGTCGTCTGTAGGTTTCTACCCTTAAAAGGTTAATGCGTTGACAGGCACTTAGTACTTGCGTTGTACTTACAATAAGTAAATTGACCTATTTTCAAGCAGGTCAATTATTACCGTAAGTAATATCAACCACTACACACAGTAAATAAATAAATAAATAAAATCCTCTTATAATTAAATACAAATGCAGTGTATTTTTATGTGTTTGTGTGATGTGTGAGTTTATGTTTGTATAATATACAGTACTTGTATATTTACATAGAATATACTAATTCATGTCTATAGTGTACGCAAGTAGTTTAGGTACTTCAGTATAATTGCTTCACTATAACAATACAGAAAATAACTACTAGGGTTTCCTATACATTGTAAACAGAGGGCATTTATAGCAACTAATCATAGGGTAGTGTTAGTAAATAAGAATTATAACGGTTTAAAACGCAACAGTTCGTCATTGGGGAACTAAACGGTTGCTGCAACGAAATACAAAAATCTCTATTATTATACGTCGCGCTTTAAATGGTTATTTTTTATTCATTAATACATACATGAATTCCTTCTCTATAAAATGTATGGCGAACACGGAGATGTCTTCTATATAGTTAGATCGACGCAAATTTACAAATTAGAGTACCTAAACATTATATGGATATAATTAAAAGGGTTGAATAGTATAATAATAAGTTTGTTAATTAAGTATATTATTATTCATATATTGCGTTATAGCATACAATTAAAAAAACAAACCGCTGTAAATGAGACCACCAAACTTATAACTACAAAAAAAAAAAAAAAAAAAAAAAAAAAAAAAAAAAAAAAAAAAAAAAAAAAAAAAAAAAAAAAAAAAAAAAAAAAAAAAAAAAAAAAAAAAAAAAAAAAAAAAAAAAAAAACACCGCCCCCCGGGGGGTCCCCCCCCCCCCAAAAAAAAAAAAAGACAACAAAAGAAAAAAGAAAAAGGGAAAAAAAAAAAAAAAAAAAAAAAAAAAAAAAAAAAAAAAAAAAAAAAAAAAAAAAAAAAACCCGGCTTTTTGGGGTTTTTAAAAAAAAAAATTGAGGGGGGGGAAGGGGGGGAATAGGGGGGAAAAGTGGGCTGGCTGGCATCACTCCTTGTAGGCTTACAGAAGATCTCAAGGTACTTTACATTAAAATGCGTTTTCCATCGTTCGAACGCTAAGAGAAATATTACGTGTGATTTATCAGCCCTCAATTACAATTATTAGTAACTAGCTGTGCCCGTGACTTCGTCCGCGTGGAATAGCTTTTTTGGGCATAAAAGCTTATTTTTGCTAACAACCTCCCCAGCTTTATAAATTAAAGCTGTACGGTCGTGTGCGTCCCGTCGTTCTTGCGAGTAAACCTTCAAAAATAGGCTTTAACAGTCCAGATATTTTGTAGATTAATTAAAGAACGATCATACTTTAATATAATATTTTTTATTTCTCAAACAATTTCGCAGAGCACGCAACATAAACCCTCAAAGACGAATAATTTTCCCAGTTTCTTCGCTTCTACAGGTTGCAGCCTGATGTTTTATAGCCTTAAGCTTTCCTTAAAAAAACGCTCTAACCAACAAACTCTTCAGCTTTATAATATCAGTTTAGATAAATATGTAGTTTTCAGATATATACTAATAAGTTACTACTAATAGTTAGTGTTTAAAAGAAAGGATTGGGATCCCTGCCAAAGGTCTGCCACTTGCTTGTCAAAAAAAACCTTAAAAAAAAAATATTTTTTTATATTAAGTTAAATATTAATGCCGATTGCTGTATATGTTTCAAAAATGTACATAAACGGAATATGTAAATACAATAATTGAGAATTTAAGCTATATAATTTATTTTCCAGCTTCCGTTGACTGTCTAGATGGTTGTCGCTTGTGTCCATTTGGTTTCCGTAATCTATGATAGTTTGGCATAACTTTACTCAGGAAGTCCAATTGTAGCAATTGAGACGGTTGTTTCTCCAATGCTTCACGTATATTGTGATCAGAACCCCATATAACCGTGTTGTCCACCAAGGTTTGGGGTGCTGAAAGCTTGCACGAGGCACCTGCAATGATAAGAACATGAACAATACTATTACAATTACCATAATAAAAAAAACTGTGAAACACTGAAGAATAAATTTAGGTTAGACTAAATGTGTATTTAGCGTCCAGGTTAAAAATTTCATACCAACAACACAACCACTGCTTATCTTAACATCTGGTCCAACAAAGCACCTGCATTCAAAGACGTTGTACTCTCCAATGTGCCCAAATATTGATTCTACTTTACATCCAACTTCAAACACATTATGCGCACCAATGAATAGCGGTTTAGGAGGGTTTTCTTGATTATCAGATTTCCTAAAAACCATAAAGGAGTAACAATTAATACATGTAAATTACCTACTATCCTAACAGACTTTTATCTATACAGTAAGACACCAGAATAATTTTGGAAATCCAACCCATAAAAAAAGTATACATATAGTAGTGCAATCTACCATAACAGTTTGCTCAATTTTGACTATCCTTGTGTAAATCTGTATTTTGCCCATAGAATAGAAGTGTAAAACATAGCTCTCAGGGGCTGAATCTATTGTTGGATTGTTTATCACTGTCTTACTTGTGAATGATTGTTGAGTATTCTTCAATGATACAATATTCTGCAATAACTATAGGTCCACCCTCAGCTATTATAGTAACTCTCGGATGTATTACTGTACCAGAACCAATGGTTATATCTCCTTCTAACGTACAATCTTCACAAACTGTTGCCCCGGGTAGGATTTTGACGCTTAAAGAGAAAACATGAGTAAGTTTTGTCCTCAACTTAGTATTGACATTTTTAGTGTGAACTGCATACTTATGAGACATGTTTGGGATTTTTTTAATACTGTAACATATAATAATTACAATTGTATAATAAGATTCTTATAATTATTTAGTTTGATTTTGTGTGCAATCGATTATTGTTTGACTTTGTTCGAATTTCAATATATTTGTCAGTCTGTCATAATAAAATATATAATGAAAAAAGCCTCTTTTTTTTTTATTTGTGGCAAGAAGAACTAACTATTTGCCAGTGTCAAGTTAAAAGCCCGCCTCTTGTATGACTGATTTGTCAGGCAAACTTGTCGTCCAGCAATTAACACTATTAAAAAAATATTAAATGTTACAATACGAATAAATATTGTGTAAGAACGTTTACATTTCAGTTTGCATAAGCTTAATAATAATATATGTTACATCTGTGATTTGCGATAAAGTAGAATATTATCAGTCTGTCCGTGATCACGTCTGCTGTAAAACATACGAAACGTCGAGCTGTAGTTAAAATAATTTTCATATTAGTTCGACTAGTATACGTAGCTTTTTAAATCGTTAAAATATTTCCTTTAAAATAAATATTATCGATAATTTATTAATTATTGTTCTATCGTATTGGTAAACTTACGAACGCACACGTGTGAAAGTTTAATTGTCAAAAATCTGTTGACAGTTGACATTGTATACTTGACCGTTGACCACATAAGAACTTTGCAAAAAGTGGCGGGAACTGCGAAGACAGCCATTAAAGTGTAAAAGTTTATAGAGATTTAAACTATTTAAATTACTATATAATCGCGCTTTTGTACATAATGGAACCTCAATTTCCATTTCCATTCGAACCATATGAAATACAAAAGAAGTTTATGGGTGAGCTGTACCGCACAATACATGACTGTAAATTGGGTATATTTGAAAGTCCCACCGGTACAGTAAGTAGTAGTTTAAATACATAAAAAGCATTCATGTCCAACTACTTGTGGGACTTGGGTCAATACTGATCCAGTATATGTCCAGATAGTATTTATAGGTAGTAATCAGCCTTCTATGTTTAGTGAACACATACCAGGATTTGACACCACTTTTGAAGCTAGGATAACTTCAATAAGGAAAGCTTGATGAAAAGGTAGCTGTTTCTTTACAACAATAATAGTATATATTAAAATTAATTCTAGGGAAAATCTTTAAGCATTTGTTGTGGAGCTTTACAATGGCTTAAGGATAATAACAGAACCATACTTGAGGACATAAAGAAACAAATAGCAGAATTAAAAGAAGCAAATGACCTTAAACCAGGTATATTAGGAACAGCTGATTGAATTTTATTTCTCATAATGTTTCTCTTTATTATTTCAAATCTACATTTTATATATTTTATTGAATTGGTTAAAATATCTATAGTGCAACAGTTTTAAAAAACCCTTGTTTTACATATAAAACTACAAATTATCTTATTTATTTAACTGCATCACTTTATTTTAAATTTGTAACTTTACTTTCTATATATTTGAATCTCTCTCTCAACTCTTCTTATTAAATTGAGTACTAGACATCTTTTTGAGCCTGTGATTTTACTTACATTGAAGTATGTATTTATAATTTTGTGCTCTACTTGATTGAATAAAAATATGTTTATAAAAGTAAACTAACTAACTAATTACCAACAATGGATTGATTGGATGAGTACCTTAAACTATTGGTAAGCCACAAATAAAATAAACTATTGGTAAGGCACAAATAATTTTTTTTAGATGCTGTTGATTGGCTCCAAGAAGAATATGCAAAGATAAAAAATAATCAAGCTCTAGCCAGTTTACAATTAAAATTTGACAAACTACAAAAGCAAGAAATTTATTTTAATGAAATGAAAAAAAGAGTTGCATCATCAAAAGCTCAAGTTAATAAAATAGATCATTATTTCAAGATGAATCAACCTAAAGAGGTATCTGAGGGTGTACTTGATGATAAGGAAAATGAGGATGTGGACGAGCTGATGATTGAGGAATTGGAAGAGAAGGATGATAATGAATCTGAACCTGATGAACCAAGTGAAGAAAATAGTGATCCTATAACTAAGGTAAATTAGTATATCTATAAGATAAACAAGATATCAATGAAACTATCCAGCTAGGAATAACTGTGATAGATTATAAAGCATGGAGCTATTAAGATTTGCTTTCATGTTAAAATTTTCTTGTAGATTTCCATGTCCCTCAGTGGGGCATGGGGCAAAGATCAATTTTATTCAACAGCAAGTATTTGATTGATTTCTGTACCCAGTCTGACTGAAACAATGTATCGTTTCCTTAGGTTCAAACTTAAAACTCAACATACTTTTAGACAGAAAACTTCAACAATCCTCCTAGGATTTAAGTTTTTATTGTATATTCAATATTTGTATTATAAACTATTATTCTGTCTTTTCAGATATACATAAGCAGCCGAACTCACAGTCAGTTGTCACAATTTGTTGGTGAATTTAAAAGAACGGTTTTCAACAATAATATCAGAGTGGTGACTCTGGCTTCTCGACAGCATTATTGTATCAATTCTGATGTTAATAAGTTAAAGAATGTCAATCTTATTAATGAAAGGTAATTTTATTTTCTTTGGATTTAAAATTTTTTTTTGTTTTACCATTTCTAAGATTTTGGGCCAGAAAACAAATTTTGTATATAGTATTAATATATAGTATACATTTTTTATATACCACTCCATGGCTCATACAATCCAATTAATATCTATATTTTCTAGATAAAGACCAATGTGTTTGAGAAAACTTTAAGTTGATTTACGAAATATCCTAAAGTCCTTGTAAAAATCAAACCCATTGACACAATTTAAACAATAAGCATATTAAATAAACCTTTATTAAAATATATTAGTTGAATCTTATTTGAAAATGATTTTTTCTTTCGGCCCGGCGTTTCGGGTGCTTTTCAGCAGCACCGGTTTGCGTCACGGGTGTCTCCTCGTGACAACATATACGTTACATCTTTACGTAATACGAACGATGTAACTTTCCCGTGACCACATTGTAAATATTTGCCAAAAGGCATATAGAAACCTTTACGAATATGGCTGCGGTGACTTTACTGTATGATGCATTGGTGCGAAGCCATTTAGATTTTAACTCCTCTATTTGGGCCCCGGCCGAAGAAAAATACAAACTACTGTTGTTGGAACGCATTCAAAACAAATTTGTTAGGCATTTGTACCAAAGAATGTATGGAGTATATCCTTTCATCCTTTAATGTATCCGATTCTTTTTATATTAGGCATGGTCGGGTACAATGAATTGAAGGTACGGAGGGACTTATTCCTAGTGATCTGGTAAAAGTATTGCGGGGTCGAGAGTTGCACCTCTGGACGTTCTATAGTCCTACACTTGTCTGTTCCGGACCGATACGTGTGGAGGCGACTACGACCACCGTTATTTGCGCTACCGTACTCAGGCACCAACTTACTGATGAAATCCCCTCTGCTCGTGCTTTGCCTGTTATCAATAAGCTGCAGGAGGGGATCGACATTTTTACGTGTAGCTTTGATGAATTGATAAAAACATCACTCCATGAAATATGTACTAAATAATTCTATCGCAATCGACATTGTTCTGTAATGTTCGAATATTTTTATATGAAAATAAATAATTATTCATTAAGTCTTTTATTTCCAAAGCCAACAGTGACTGCCAAAAGTAGTCTATAATAAATTTTTTAATGACTTCAGATGCTTAGACATGCAAAAGTCCAAACCAAAAGCAACATTAGTGGACCCGGAGACTGGAAAAGCCTTGAAGAGAACGAAAACTAAATCCTGTTCTGGTTGTCCATACTACAACCAGGGTAATATAACCAAGTTAAAAGAGAGATTATTAGTGGATATTATGGATATGGAAGATCTGGTGAAATGTGGCAAAGTTTTAAAGGCGTGTCCATATTATGCTACAAGGATGGCTTTAGAGGATTCTGAGGTAGGATAAATTCTATAAAAGTGTGTGTAAAGTCCAGCATTTTTATTTATATATCTAATTTTACTTTGTCTGATCAATCTAGATATTAAATGGGTGGTACAAATATCAAAATGTTGTCTTAGTCGGTTCCAGTTTTCTTAAATTTCGAATGATCAAAGACAAATAGTCGACAGCGCATCTTGTTAAGATGTTATATAATACACTGACTATTTTGTCTTGCATAAATTGAGTCCATAGTCCACCTCTGTCTAAAAAATCAGGTGCAAACTTTGAAATGCAAACAATAAGTGTATTTATTTGTCTTTATATTAAATTCCTTATGAAGTTGTTTCTTTGTCTGTTAGCTATATTTCTCTGTGAAGTATACAATAAAATGTAACTGCAACTTAAAGAATTTAACTTTTATAACCATAATTTCCAGGTGGTTCTAATAAGTCATGCTGGTATAGTGAGCAGTGGTGCTAGATCTGGGATATCACTGAAACTGGATAAGAACATTTTAATTCTGGACGAAGCCCATGGGCTGACCGCTGCCCTGGAAAATGCCCACTCAGCTCCCGTCTCTCTGAAGCAACTGCAATCAGTGAAAACTTTCCTCAACTTCTACATAGGCAAATATAGAGCAAAATTGAGCAGCAAAAACCTATTGTTATTGAATCAAATAAGTTTCGTCGTTGGGAAATTGCTAAGTGAGTTATATTTAAACAAAATAATTTTGGCGGTTTGAAACACGACTAATTTTTGAACACTTATTTTTATATTTCAATCTTTTTGAATGTTTCGCGTTCGAAACCATTAAGTATGTTATTAAAATGTGTCCTCGTAGCCAGTTTGCATAAATCCCTGGACGGTTTCTTTACCGGTTTAATACTGTTAAATAAAACAATGTATGTAAAAAAGGTAAATAAAAAAAGTGTAAATTACAGACATTATTTAAATTCCTATAAATTCTTACTTCTCTTACTATTATGGTCAATATAACAAATCAGATTGGAAATGTGTAAATGGATTTTCTCTCAGAAGTGTAATAAATAGATAAAAATCCATCCATTTGTCTAACTCAACGAGTTTAGTGGGTTTAGTACCTTAACAGGACCAAAATGTTTCAAAAAATTAATTAATTATACTGGGCGTACTTAGTTTTGAAAATCTAGATATTAAATTAGTAGTAAGAATATCGATATTGGTGGAGATTTTCTGTCTCCTTTATATTATAACAAAAAATATAGTCCGCATTTATTCTGCAAATTAATTACAACCGATGAAATTACTAATATTTCTTATCATTATTTGCTTCAGATACCGTGAAACTTGGTCCGGAAAATGATTTAGCTGCGAAAATATACACATTAGAAGATTTTGTAATAAAATCGGAAATAGATCATTTAAACTTACGCCCCCTGGTGGACTTCTGTAGAACGTCGCGGTTAGCCCCAAAACTCCACGGCTTTTCAATGAAGTACAGTCAGCAAGACCTCGAGGAACGCAAGGAAAGTACGGTTGACAAAAAGAAGTCGTTTAAGGATTTCCTAAGCAACATCTCTAAGAAGAATGAAGAAAAATTAAATGAAGAAAAATTGTGAAGAAAATAATATTAGTGTGAAAGTTAATCAGGTAAAAACATCCATATATGTTTATTCTTATTAGCATTTTTCATTACATATACATAAGTATTCTGCGACTATTTTTTTCTTAGACAATTGTGGGAAAGAGACAACACAGTATTGAATTATTACAAAAAAAAAACTAAAAGTTAATTCTCCATTGTAATAAATAGTTACAGGTAGACAATCTAAGATTACGTCTGTGTAACCTAGTCACCAGATCAATTGGCGCAAAACATTTATTTAACTTTTTAAGAGGTAGATGCATAAAATATAATTTAAAAGGAATATAGGTATCGAGAATTGAATTTCCTGTAATTTTGGAGCACTTTAAGAAAACAACCTTCCAAGTTTAAAGCTCATTTTAATGTAAAATATAATCCTTATAATGTTGACGAGCTTGTTGGTGTAATGGTAGCAATGTATGTAATAACGGGTCGTGGATTCGATTCTTTTCAATCTTAATGGATTATTATTTTTCAGGTGCCCACAGAAACGTCCGCCGGCAGCGGTCTCTACGCTATACTTGATTTTCTGGAAATGCTCTGCGAGAGAAGCGAAAATGGCCGAGTGCTGGTCCAGAGCGGGGAAACTGGACAACTCAAATATCTGCTTCTGAACCCGGCTGAGAGGTTCAAGGATGTTGTACAGCAGTGTCGATCTGTATGTTTTGATAACTAATTCTGTTTTATGTAAATATAAATACTATTTAAATAATCATACCCGATGGCCAAACATATTTCTATGTCCGTTTTATTGACCTGTTTTATTTTTATTTACAGCAGACCAGAGCCCTGCTGAATCGAAATAACGTTTTTTTTTCCACAGGATTCCAACCTAGGACCTCTCGCGCTTAGTAAATGCTACTGCTTAGCCACTTGGCTTTGAAACTTGTATTTTGTAAAACTCAAAGAAGAAAATTACTTTTTCAGGTAATCGTCGCCGGCGGCACTATGGAGCCAGTGGGTGAATTCAAATCACTCTTAACCAACGACACGATAGAGGAAAACAGAGTGAACATAGTGAAATGTGAACATGTCGTGCCAGCTGATAACGTGCTGGGTGTCTGTCTATCACGAGGACCAGCTAACGTGGTATTGAATTTTTCGTATGAAAACCGGAATACGAAGGACTTGGTGAGTATTTATTTAAACTCTTACAAACCTATACATAAAACACTTATACATCTATATATAGCGTACCGGCAAGCGCGAAGACACCTTTAGTCAATTCTGCAAGGACCCTGGCCGGGTATCGCCAAATACCAACTACGACGGAACAGATGGCGCTAACGTTATAGTTTTTTACTTTGACGTCAGAGACATCCTTCATCTTTATTCTCCCCGTGACCACGCCTGCTGCAAAGCATCCGAAACGTCGGGCCTTAGTTAAAAATAGTTATCAAATAAGTTTAAATAATATATATCGCGTTTTAAACCGTTGAAGTGTTTTATTTATTTAATGTGCACTACTCACGTAAACTACATACAGTATTTACTAATACATCTAATTTATTAACTTGTCACAGTGTTTGTGCGCTTCTCCAAATCGGCTGAACTGATTTTCATCAAATCTTGTATATACATTTGTTAGGCTTGGAAATAGGATGTTGACTACAAGTGTACCGTTGTCATGGTAGCTCAATTGATTAGGGCGCAAAACGTTCTAGATAACGGTTTTCGATCTTTTCAATTTGGTTATATGATATATTAAGGTAGTTCGTTCCAGCTGTTAGTATATATCTAATTCTCGTACGTCGGGGTACAATTTTTAATACACAAAATATCTTTATAACAAAATTGCCTTTTAAAAAGCTTCTGATGATATTAACTGTTTTTACCCTTAAAAAAAATCTCATTGTCGCTTCGTATAGTAGTCTTTCTTCACATATGTATTTAGTTTTGGTTTTCCTTTTATATTGTTTCTAAAGTTTAAAGTACTCTGAATAAATCTTATTCTATTATCCTTTCTGTTTATTGAAGTCTGAAGTTTGAAAATAGATTATAAATTAAAAAAGTGCGTCCTACCCGTGTTGTATTTTTTTTCAATCTATAATCGATTTATAATTGATACAATTTATACAGTTTTCTATGAATTGTTCGCAGCAAGATGAAGTGGGTCGTATCCTAAGAAATATCTGCAGTGTCGTACCTGGCGGGGTTGTGTGCTTCCTGCCGTCTTACTCTTATGAGAACTGCGTGTATGAACATTTAAAGAAGACAAACGTAATCGATGCTATATCTAAAAAGAAGGTAGTTTTACGCGAGCCGAAATCTGCATCAGATGTCGATCAGGTCACTATTTAATACTTATTAAAATCTTTTTTCAGACATGATTAAGGCATTTTATGCTGATAATGCTCTAAGGATATTTGAATAGTTATATACTCTATCCATGTAAGGAACCAAAATCACACATGTAGGTAAAAACCAAGCACGAATCGGTTTCGTCGACCAACGAACAAAGATGAAATGGCGTCTGCAAGGATGTTTTCCCTTTATTGGCTGTGGCTTATGTATGTGGATAGACACAACTTATAATTTTATGAATATTCAAGTGTCTAAAAAAGTTAACGTAATGCGGGGGTATTACTAAACCCCCCCACAAATTTTATGTTGTTAGTTCTATTTCTTGTTCGCGACGACAGAAAGATACAATTTGTGAAAATTTTAATTTTGGTACATCAAAATAAGCTAGAGTTGATCAATTTCTTATCGAATCTAAGAAAACAAAAACTTTCAGGTCCTGCGAAAATTTGCTTCCGCAGTAAACTCAAGAAACTCAGAACGAAGTGGTGCGTTATTGTTCAGCGTAGTGGGTGGCAAACTTAGCGAGGGACTCAATTTTAGGTAAATAGTGATATTGCCTTTCACTTATGTCTATGTATATTTCTCTCTATGTAAATAAAATTTAAGATAGCTTAGTGTGTATAATCGAATAATGCTTTAGCGAAATTATAGATTTTTTTAAATTAAGAAAGATCAAGCAAGGGATTCACTTTCCTTCCGGAAATGCCCCAGCGACATAACATCTCAACGAGATGTGCGGTCGACTTATTTTGGTTTTGGATATTCGGAAATCCACAGACCGAAATCATTTGTGGTCTCCTAGCGTGTATAAGTGAATAAGGCTTTTGCAAAATTTTGGATTTTTTAATTAAGGAAGACACTCAAGTATGAGATTCACTTGATGGAAGGTGAAAAGCCTCGGCTGTATAACATCTCAACGAGATGTGCTGTCCACCTGTTTTGTCTTTTTTTTATCTACAGTCTGAAATCGAAACGGCTATAGACTTCACCGCTTTTTCGTTTGTGGATATTTCAGAAAAAGTATTAATTAACTTCAGTAACATTTGGGACCGTTGTTATTAGAACCCACGACCCGATAATTATTAGCCATAAATAGCTCTGCCATTACAAATTACAACGATTGCGTTGATAGTATTTGAAATTTCGTTAATTCCGTTTGTATAATATATGTTATTTGTGTAGTGACGACCTCGGTCGCTGTGTGCTAGTTGTGGGTATGCCTTACCCAAATATCAAATCCCCGGAGCTCCAAGAGAAGATGAATTATCTGAATCGGGTGACGCCGGGTGCCGGGAGCTTGTATTACGAGAATTTATGCATGAAGGCTGTTAATCAGTGTATTGGTAAGTTGTAATTAGAAATAAAATAAAATGTTTTCGCTCTTAATGATGTTACACTGTATTGTCCGTAGCTTATGAGAGTGGTTTAATTTAACTAAACAATTCGACGTTTAAAACGCTGTGCAGACTATTCTAATGGTGTAGTAAAATTAATTGATTTGTTTTTTTTTATGTAATGTAAATGTAGTTTTTCTTCAATAAGTCGCCGTTACGTTAAAATAAAACAAAATATGTTAGTCATTTGAGCCGGATAAAAACATTTTGGTACACTAAATATATTATATAATATCTTTCTCGCTGTAAAATACTGTACTGTATTATACCTATGTTTTACTTATTATAGGCCGAGCAGTCCGCCATGCTAATGACTACGCAACCGTACTGCTTGTGGATGAAAGATATTCCCGACCACAGACTATAGCAGCTCTACCCTCATTTATTCAGGTATTATTATTTTTTAATTACATTATCTATTTTAAGTTTAAGGACCAGGAGTTGAATATAATAAAATTGGCAATAATTAGAAACTGGTTCTACTCCAAATTAAATTACAAAAAAATAAATAATCCTACTTTCGAATTATTTTAATAAAAACACTGAACTATTTGCAAGAAATACAGATTGGCTATACAATTCGACAGTCGCCCCTTAAGAAAGTTGTCTACTTCACCAAATATGTTGAAATGACGTCACCACTACTTCTTATCACCTTCTTGATGAAAAAAAAAAATCAACTTCACTTAGTATTTTCAAAAGTAGGCTTAAATCTTTCTTAATTCTTAAAACACAATAATCAAATAACAAGTAGTAGCTTTCCAGTAAAATGCTAATTTAAAAATATTATTTTTACTTAAACTTATGATTTTTAAATTTCAGATATTATTTTAAAAATTTTAATCGCGTTTGTCACTTGGACCACCGGCTAAGTGAGGTTGAAGCTCGTTTCTTATCGGTACGATGTTATTGCGTCGGCTATTTATAGTTTTGTTAAGATTTTATTATAACTACCCGCGTGATGAGTAGTAATAATAAATGAGAAATAATACTTTATTAATAAGTTTCTCATATAAGTGATTCTCGTAATCTTAGTGGGAAATAAATGTTTTTAAACCGAAATGCCACCATTAGCCCTTTCACAGGACTCACTGCTGGGATTTTGACTTCTATTTTATTTGTTAATAAGTTTATTCAAAGACATGAATTACCTTGTAGAGCTGAACTTTTTTTTTTGCCGGGGAGCGCGTTATAAATATACACAAAGAAAAATAATTCTAATGTTGGATCAGTGTTCACATCCCGCGAGTAGAATTTGGTTTTTTAATACCGCTTTACAAACACGGCTTTTTAATATTAACTTTTTTTTCAGAAATCGTTGATATCCAACTGCAGTTTCGGACAGACAATCAGCAGCATAGGAAGATTTTTCTCAAAGCATAAAAATAAGGTTTGAGATAATTTCTTTATGTCTTATTCTAAGCCTTATTTACTTTACGTGACCAAGGCTTGCAGCAGCGCAATACACTCGAAACATCGGGTCGCAGTTAAATTTTTTATGTATACTAAAAAGGGTAGCGAGGAGGCCGGATGATGAGGTAAAAATATAAGAATTATTAAATATTAATATTAATATTTATTGAAAATATTGTACTTAGTGAGCTTTGTGCATATTTAACGACCAGTCACCATTAAAATTATCCCAGATAGTAAACATCATTCGTATAAATACTACACCTTATTATTGAAGATTTATTTTCAAAGTGTATCTAATTAATAATAAATACCAGAGTAATAGTATCTAATTATATTTCATCATTAATCTTATCGATTCATATGTTTTATCGAAGTGCAGCAAAATGACGCTAATTCAGCTTGGCGGAACAGATAATAAAGCAATAAAAGAAAATGAGAATTAAGTAAATAATTCATTATTGTATGTGTTATTATTTATAAGCAAAATATCAAAAGACTAGAGACTGAAATGGAATGAAGTCGTTTAGTTTTATATGAGGTATATATTAATTTATACCTTGTCTATCATCGGCATAAAAAAATCTTAACCTAAATAGGTATATATTAAAATATCACTTGTCTTACAAATTATCTATAGCAATTCAACTAAATCAACGCAAACCTTATATTATCACTGTTTGATACCACATATAACTACTTCTGCTTTAAGGTGATCGCACATTCGTGTAAACTAATATTTCTTTTATAGTAAAAAAACGTTTATTTTATTAAACGACATTTCGGCAGCTTCACGTTTTCTTGTATGAATGTTCAGGAAGTCGCTGAACTCTTGTTGTAGGACGTTATCACATTGCTTCTTAATTTAAAAATCTACAATAAATTGAAAAAAAAATTTGACTCGAGCAGGACTTGAACAGGCATCGTCAGTGTACCGTGTTGTTGCTCTACCAATTGAGCTACTGGGTCTACCACCTCATCGACGAATTTTAATATTATTTATTTAATATAAACCTTCCTCTTGAATCACTCTATCTATAAAAAAACCACATCAAAATCCATTGCGTATATAGATTTAACCGTATTTTTCTGTACGGCGACTTTGTCTTATACTATGTAGTGATATATCAACTATAACAAATTTCTTGATGAGGTTCGTTTGGTGCACGCCAAATGTGCGATCACCCTCACAGCGTCTTAATAAACAAATTCTGCTATTCATTTCGTAGAGTAAAGTTTACCGCCATGTGTTGTCCTGGTACTAAAAAGAGACCTTTCTTCTCGAATTCCAATTCTGATGGCTTAGGTGAACCCGGAATGGGTGAGACCTTGTAGTTCAAGATCAGGTTAGATATTCCATGGCGCACTGATATAAGGCCGAATCTCATACCTGAAAAAGATATTTACGGTTACAAGAAGACTGTAAGATTAGCTATTAAGTTAAATTCTGGTCTAAGAGTAGTCTGTAATGATAAACTTTTGTCTCTAGTTTCTTTTCGGATATTTTAGTAGAGGCTGAACAAACTTTGGGATTTTGTTTTGTGTCTATTCGACCAAAAAAATTGGCAGCTTTTTTATTTTTATTTAATCTCATTTTTAGTATAGTTTGCGAAACTTATTAAAACTTATTTAGCTTCTATAGCTTCTTTGGAGTCCTACAAAAGCTTCGAAAGTTCTCTTATATGAACCATAGCGGGCTAGTGGTGTGTGTGTTAATGGTTCTAGTTGACTCTTGCCTCTGGTAGAGTTGGTACTACCAGCACGAACACTTAGAGTGTGGTGCGATTTACCACACTCCCCACATCACAAATGCATGTCATTTGTTTGCAGTGCATTTACACCAATTAAAAAAAGGAACCTTCAAAGACGAGTAAATTTATGAATGTTTAAGTTGGTCTCAATTTATACATTATTATTTTTCAAATTTACACGTACTGTTTTTTAAAAAGCGAAATAATATTACCAATACAGATCCTTGGTCCCTCTCCAAACGGCATATAGGTAAACGGTTTGATGTTCTGCTCATTATCAGGCATGAAACGTTCTGGGTCGAATTTCAGTGGGTCTGGGAAGTACTCTGGATCGTAGTGCATTCCAATAGCGTTCACGTAAACAGGAGTACCCTTCTTAATGGTGAGTTTGTCATCTATCGCGTAGTCCTGAGATGCTATTCTATCCAGCCAGCCCATCGGCGCATAGAGCCTCAATATTTCTGAAAGGATTTGATTTGGTACGTATAAAAATACCTAACTAGCGAATTTACCAATTTAAAGGCTGAACTCGAATTGAAATAAAATTAAGTTGTAATACTTGTATTTTAATCTGTAAGAATATGTATTTTTGAACCGAAAAGATCTGAAAGATGTTCTTGCTCAAAGCTGATAATTTTTTTGTCGGCAGTACTTTATTATTATTTTCTTTCGGGGACACCTGTGGTAGGACGGGTGAGTCCACGTCATCAGCCGACCATTTCACCCATTTCCTCCTTTTACCTCCTAGTTCCTCCGGCAGTACTTTACTCTAATAGGTTAAGCCACATTTTTTATGTAACCTCTATATAAAGCTATCGTTTTTCTTAATCTCTACTTTCCCGCTTAAACAAAAATTCTAGAAGAACGTATTATTTCTTATCATCCACACAAAAGGTTACAAAAAATACCTTTTATAACAGCATTTAAGTAATTCAGCTCCATGAGTTTCGCAATTTCCAATTTACCCTCCGCCGCTTTAAGTTCTGATACTTCTTTGTATAGTTTCTCCTGAAACATGCAGTTTTATTTAACTGTGATTAACGAAAATGAAATGAAAGATAACTTTGTAAGACTCTGGCGTATAGCTAATAATCAGCGAATCGGGGGTTCGATTTCTACCAAGGAATAATCTCTCAAGTCTTATAATCTTAGGTGAAAAGCCGTGAAATGTACATCTGCGTCTCGGGTTCTGTCGGGATTTTCTAATGTCCAAAGTCAAAATAAATCGGCAGCGCATTTTAACTATATGTCACATGAACCCCGTGCTTGTCGGTTCCCCTCTGATGTATAAAACAGATATTGTAGTCCTTTTTTACCTGGATATCGGGATTATAAGCCAGTTGGTAAAACGTGAACGTAAGGGCAGAGCCCGATGTCTCGAAGCCGCCCAGAAGCATGGTTGCAGCGTTGGATACTATCACATCGTCGTTTATTTCTTAAACAAAAAACTTGAGTTCTAAAAAAGTTTATAATCTTAATTGCTTGGTATGTCTTATGTGGGGTTATGTATATGTAAAGATATGTTTTCCTCTTTAGGATTCCCTACGCAAACCTTTTTTTGTTTGAAATTAAATAATAGTAACAAAGAATACTTATGGTTACTTCAATTACGAAATGCATTTACATATTTTATATGACGCACTACTTTTACATACATGCAAGCTTGGCCGGTTTGATTATATATAGTCGATTTATGCCAAGATATTATGTCTTTCGATTTCAGATTCCCTGCTATATCTAAGATAAATAAATAAAGAGGAAGGCGTAAACTATCGAATGAGCAGGCAGTATTAAAATTGTATTTAGTGTTGGACTTGACGACAAAAATTTACAGTTTTCTGTGTCCAAAATGTGTGACTCGACTCACCTACTCCATCTATTACCGGACCATCGCGTTTCAACTTTATCAGTGCATCCATCAGGTCTTTAGGGTCCTTGATAACCCTGTCTTTTCTTTGCTCAGCTACAAAGTTGAACACTTTTCTGAAGTAATCCGTAGACCATTTTGGGAACAGCCTAAAGCTGAGGCAGAAACCAAGGCTTAATAAAAATTATCAGAAAATATGACAATAAATACTTAAACTGTGCAGTTTTATTGATAGAAGATACAATAGCCAGCTATATACTTCCAATTGTGTATATATAAATTGCATAACTTATATATATACATATAAGTTATGCAATTTCTGATTCAATTTCAAAAAACAGTGGCCAAAATTATATAGGCACATAACCTGACTAACATTTTTCGCGATCAGTAACAACACATAAAGGAGTTGATTTATTTTGATGTTTTAAATATCACCCTATAAAAAAACATATTTTTAAAAGCCAACATAAAATAATACCGTCAAAAATAGTTATGAGGTAAGAATCTATAAATAATTACATATGTTTCAACTGAAGAAAAAAGCAGAATGTGGGAATATGGGAGTATATGGGAGGGTAAATTATAGAGATATTAGGTTAGTCACCTGTCAGTAAACTGAAATGATGACCATTACTTTTCTGGTTTTATTATTAGTATCTAAAATAAAAAAAAATACGTTTATTTTGGTCAGGTACGATTTGGCCATTGGTCTTTGTTTTTTCTATTTGGTAAATATACAAAACTATGTTCGGCATGTTAGTACAGTCAACTTTATTGTTAAAAAGACTAACTGAACTCAAAAAAATTGCTGTTTGCGAAATAAAGATTTAATTTGCCTAAATTAAATTAGTACGGAAGAAACTCACTTAAAATAGGGTGTAACTTCTGGCAAGAAGAAGATGCTACCCCAACTCAAGCCTCTGAACCAGTCGAATGTCATGTATGCTTCAGTGATAGTTCTCATAGGATCCTCTCCTGTACGCACTGCAAATGTTTCCACTCCAAATGCGGCAGTTCCGAACACGTCAGTCGAGTAGTCAGCGAATAAGTTCTATGGAACAGTGGGCATTTATTTTAGACTAGCTACGTAACCGATTTCGTCCGCGAAAAATAGTTATTTTGGGTATTCAAATTTGTTTTTGCTAACTCGTTTCGTTATAAAATTAAGCTGTTACCCAAGACGCTGTCCGCTTTCCGTCTATCTTGCAAGTCGCAGCGCGATATTCGCAGCGAATTTATAGCCTTCCTAGATAAATATTCTAACCAACACAATAAGAACTTTTCAATTGGGACCAGTAGTTCTTGATATTATCGCGTTCAAACTATCAAAACAAACTCTTCTTCTAGCGTAGCAATTTCAAATTTTAGTTTGTCGTAGAGAATCCTCCTCTTTAGTCTCCCTGTGAAGGCTCTGAAGCTCCGAACTCGGGCCGAAGTTAAAAATCATTTTCAAATAAGTTTAACTAATATATCCGTTTTAAACCTTAATTTTATTAAACTCAGACTTATATATAAGGAGGGATTGAAAAAAAAATAATTGACAATTGGCTTTACGTTTAGTTAGTTGGAATAAAAATCTTAAAAAATACTCATCAGTAGAGATACTCACTCGAAGGTTTAGTTTACTGTAATCCTTCGTATTATTGATGCGTGTTATTAGTTCGCTTGTCTTTGTGTCGACCAAAGGCTGTAAAGCTCGCAGCTTGGAACCCGTGAAGATGGATGATATACGACGACGCACTGTGCTCCATAAGGGGTCCTGGAATATATTATAAGATACAGCTGGATATATATTTAATAATTTAATGCATAATCCTTCCAGTAACTATTGTTTAACATTGTGAATTAAAAATCGATTATAGATAAAAAAAAATACGGCTCGGGCAGGACTCAAACCGACATCCGCACGAAACGATGTCTATGGATGTCGATTCAAGACATGCCCGAGTCCTTAAATTCTTTCTAATCGAAATTTATAATCGATTTTTAATTTATATAGTGCCCTCGTGCCAATAACATGTGAAAATATTAAGACTAAAAACAAAATAAATAACAGATTGTCTTTCAAAAATAGTCGCTATTATATGAAATCCTTGGGTTAATTATTTTTTGGCGAAAATGGGCACTCATATGTTCAAAAGACAAAGTGTACTTACATTGGCAGTCAAAATATTCAGTGAACCAATAGAATCATGTTTTCCCCCGCTTAGAAGTCGATCTCTGAATATGGAGTTGTCCTTCACAAGGATTCTCTTTGCTAGTTCGGGTGTGTTGATGACGAGTGCTGGTCTCCAGAATAACCATATCCCAACTACTGGTGCTTTGGGGAAGCGTTGGTACAGTTCAATCATCCATGTTCCCTGGGGGATTAAAAACAATATTTAGTTTACGTAAACTTGTATCTGAAATATTTTCTATAAGAAATGACTTTACTTCCGCTGTAGGGTCTACCAAAGTAAGTTAATAAAAATTATTTGAAACTATTTGAGGATCTATTTTTTTAGGTCTCATGGACGTATAACATAACACAAGTCTGAGCAGATGAGTTAGTAACTGTTGGTTGTGCGTTTCCATTCTTATTTTTTCTAAAACCATTATAGTAGATGAAACAAATTCTCAATTTTAATTGCGCCTGTATCCATTAGTGTCGCTGCATTAATTTCAAGATCGTCATTTAAAAAAATTTAAAAAGACAAAAAATTGGTATTTATAAAAATAATTGCACATAAATAATTATATGCTTATCTTTGGCTTAGACTGTTTTTTTGTTCGACAAATACTGTTTTATTATACGATGTATATAATATGTATTATTCAAAATATGTGCCATTTGAAGAAAACTATATATATAATTAATTTTGTGGAAGCGCTGGTCAAATAGGGCTACAATATCTCTAAGTGCATTTTATATGCATCTGCATATAAAATCGATGCAAGTACTTTACACCTTAATGATAACCTTTAAATGTCTACCCTTGTCGATAAACATGATTAAATTCGCATTAAACAAGTGTAATTGTTACTTTGTACTAATAATAATTGACTGGTAACGATAAGAACTAATGTTCGAATCCTGAGATAAAATATAGCAAATGATGGTTTCAAAGGCACTTACTTAATTGTACTAATAAATCGGAAAATGTATGCAGAATTAAACTTTGTTATGAAGTTCTTTTTTGACCATTTGTTCGGTTTTGCGGTGAACAATCTTTATTATATCTCGGAGAGTCGAACCTAGGTCCTCTCTGAGTACGTATGTGAATCGAACGCTGTAGTGATTTGTTAATCTTCAAAGAAGCACGTAAGCGATAGACATCTGAAACCAGAGTTTTCTGGGTGTCTTGTACGTGATCATGGTAAGAAAGATACTCACGGGATTCTTCTTCAACAAGAAGGTTAAGTTCCCCATAATTGGGTGTGGTGGAAGATAAGGAACACCACGTTTGGCCCAATAACTTTTGACAGCGCTCCATTTCATGCAAGCCCATGCCACTAGACACACTATCGTAGAAAAGAGCAGTATTCCAATCATTCTGCAAGCAATAATTCATTTACATAAATATATTATGAATTATGACTATGGGTGGATTTCGTATTTTTAACGCTGAAGTAGTTTCCTAAGTTCCTTTAATAGCAAATAATAAAAAATATATTCAGAATGAAAGAAGAAAATTTGGCTCTGTCTCTTATTTCTTTTAGTAAACAATATTTCTTTTTCTTTGAAAAAGTTGGGTTTTTTTACATTAAGTTATATTGCTTTAATATAATCCAATTTATACTTACTTTGTATTGCAAGTATGCAAAGTGACGAGTGAAACGCAAATACTTAAGATATCTGTTCGCCTTCCGTTTAAATAGCAGCGGGGAGATAAAAACGATATTTGATTATTTGTTTTATATGGTACTAATCTACTCTAATAGAACATCGTTGACACTTTTGGCGGCGAGCGGAACGTAATGCATCTAAAACACATATTTAGAATACTATTGAAGCAGTTAAACATTTGAATATTTAAAAAGAAATATTATTCTTCACATTTTAATGCCCGTTTTGTGCATTATGTATGGCGTTGTGGATGCCGGTTCAATTCCGTGTCGTTAATGTTTTCAATCTAAATAGATTTTATAATCAAATATAGATATTATATGATATGATTGTTAAGTTAAAAAATATATTATTAATTGTTCATGCTCTATTTCATTCTTTGAAAATGTATTATAGTAGGATCTTTTTGTTTAACCGATTTGAAAGTACCTAATATTTATTAATTTTATTAGCTTTTATTGCAAGAAATATAATTGTTTCTTGGGTATTTCTTTTCTAATTCCTCTACAACGTCTGTCTAAAATTTAAAACTTTTTATTTTACTGGCATTTATTTTTTAGAAAAGTTTAATTTAATTTAGTCTACTAACTTGTTAATTTTTATTTTATTATTTTTGGTATTAACGCAATTCATATAATATATATTTTTACAATTTCCACTTAATTATCAAATTAAATTTTATTTAATATTCAAACTCTAACAGAAAATAAATTGGGTAATTAAAAATGTACTGCACATTTAATAAACAAAGGCGTTGTTCAACGAACTCAGATTTTTATTGTCTAAATTAAAACGAATAAAATGTTGAATAAACCGACTTTCAAATCTGATTGTCGTCGATCACAGTGCTCGTCTTTGTTATTTTTTGATTGCGTATGTCAATTGTAGTGCATTTATCACAAGAGGGACTTAAAATGTTAATTCTAATTGCATATTGCTTTTCAGTGCCTGTTAGCCTTATCCTTATACTTGTAAATATTAATTATTCATAAAATCATAGAAATTCTATTAATCCTTTCGTTTTATGAAAAAGTAAGACAGACATTATATATTCTTTGCAGTTCAGACCCCTAGGGTATGAGTGAATGGGATCTAATAGATAGATACCATTCACTCATACCATGCATTTTAGAATGCATATAGCCAATTTATGTATGATGTACCATATTACATCTCGGGAAAACAGAGGAACTAATAGTAGGAATAACAAAAAGATGTAACTTGTTGTAATTCCCACCTAATTTCTCCCAAGTGTTAGGGTCGTAGTTTCCATTCTCAGAAATCTGTGAAATGGACCTCTAGGAAAAATTGCATGAAACTCCTAATAATGATTACATTACACAAAATATTGTTATCTAAGATAACTCTGGAATTTCCGCGAAGCCACGATGACTTTTAAAATATTTGTTCGTACAATTTTCTCCGAGCCTTTATTGTGGTAAACATTTTCGTGTCGTGCACGCGACTGTTTGATAAAAGCTCTGTAATTTTATTACAGTCTTATTCAATACCAGAATTAGCCACTAGTTACTAGTATAAATACACAAATGAATGATGAATAGACGCATTTCTTGTTGAAATTGGTCATCTATACCGTTGGATTACAGTGTTTTGTTGTGGAAGTGACTAAACGTAAGTTGCTTAATAAGCTTCATTTATACCAAGTTTTACTAAATTCGGGAAGATTTTTAGGATTAATAAGATGAACCTTAGTTAATATTAATTTATGCCAGCTGTGTCCGCGACTTCTTCCGCGTGGAATTGTTATTTTGGACAACATATATTTATTTTTGCATAAATCTTCCTCAGCTTCATAAATTATACCAGTTTTTTTTGTAATATGCCATAAAGCCATATAACAAATATATTAAAAAAGAAACACTTCTAATGATTTAAGAAGCGAAATATATTAATTATTTATTTTTAACTAGGAGCTGTCGTTTCGAATGCTTTGCAGCAGACTCAGTCAAGATACATACGACGTGGACCTAAATCGACTGCTTTGGCGAAGTCAGTAAAATAATAATATGTCTGTTATGTAGGGTTACATTACATTCAAAACAAATCTTCTTTATAATCCTTTTCTCGTGAGCACGGCTGCAAAAATGCAGTAACTCGTAACGCCTTACTTAAAATATACCGCATTTCGATGTGTTCAAATGACGAATGAAATCTCATCTAGAAATGAAAAGATAGAATCTGCTCGAGAGTGTGATATCAACTTTCCATTTCTCTATTTTTGACGTGTCATTCTACTACTTCCGGTTACCAACATAATAAGTTCCAAAGAAGGCATCATAAGATCGCAATAAGATCTATTTGATTTTTGCACTACAAATGCGCTTCACCGATTTTGATAAAATATTGTGTCAAATTATCAGATACGCTGAAAAAGCTTTTGTTCTGTTATTATAAAGATAAAAAAGGTAATTACAATAAGGCTGTGTCATAGTTTAAATACTATATTGGAAAGTTTATTGTAAAAATATCTTTAGGCAAAGTTAAGTCATAAACAAAAGCAAAAGTTGTTACTTATGAAAATATATTAACTAAAAGTGTGGAACCATGACTTGAATGGTGAATGTCAAAAAGAATATCCTTCAAATAATTACGTATTTTTATAGGGGAATAAATTTAGGACTCATTACACTTAATACAACTCGGTAACTAAGTTTCCAAGGTCGTTTATTTTGATAAATAAATAAAACATTTCACGGAATCATCGTGACTTTTAAATTTTACTTTGTTTGATTAGGAATTTGTTATCTTGATTTTGTTAGTAAAAATTTTACGCCTTTTAAAGAGATAAAGCAAGATTACTGACGCGAACATTTGCTTATTAAACAACATCTTACTGTCTGCAGTCATTTTTAGTATTTTGCTAGAGTGCTAGCTCACATCTTTCAAGGAATTTACCGGGTAATACACTGGATGCTAGTCAGTGTACCATCCAGAATTGCACTAGATTTTATTAGACCAACACCCAAAGCAAGTTTTTCAGACATGAAATGTAAAATTTAAAATTATTATATTAAAAACTGTCTATAGTTTACGCAACACATTTAAATAAAACACTTAACGGATTAAAACGCCATATATATTATTTTTAACTTTTAATTAATAATATTTTCAACAATAATGTAAGTAGTACTCATGTCTTAATAATGAACTTATAATAAACTAGTAAACTAGGCGTGGAAAATAAATCATTTTTGTAATAAACATAATTATAATTATAAAAAAAACAATAACATAGCAATGATTATAATACTATATTGTTAAATATAAAAAATATTTAACGACCCATGGCGTGAAAAATTTCCAATAGTGTTCTAAAAGTTTTAGATTTAAAGTAAATTCGCAATTTAAAAGTATCTTCTTTATTAGAAATAATCTTATAAGAGTTATATTGATAAAGAATTGGCTTAGAATTTAGTTTCTAGGGAGGAAATCGACGTGCAGGGGTTGTCCGGGTACTAAGGAAAGTCCTCGCTTCTCAAATTCCACATTGTTGGGTATTGGCGCGCCGGGCACTGGAACGATTTTGAAGTTCAGAATGAGGTAAGCTAATCCGTATCTTACTGTCGTCTGTCCGAATCTCTTTCCTGAAAAGATACACAATAGACACAATAAGATAGAGAAACGATATTTATTTCAAGTATTTTCGAGTAGTAATTTTTAAATTTCGATCTAATAAAGTCAAATATATTATCAAATTTTAAGTATATGTAAAACACTATATTATAGATGTAAAAGCTTATAACTTTCATATTTCTTGGTTTTTGGGACTGTTAGTAATGGAGATCGATTTGGCCTTTCTCCTGGATTTTGGACTCGATTGATCAAATACGACGTAACCACTGAAAGCCGTCGTAGAATGAAGAAAATATTACCTATACAACTCCTTGGTCCTTCCCCGAAGGGCAAATACGTAAATGGCTTAATTTCAGCTTCGTTCTCGGGCCGGAATCTGTCAGGATTAAATCGCTCTGGTTCTGGATAGTAATCTTCATCATAGTGCATCCCGATAGCGTTTACATAGATAGGAGTTCCTGCTGGAATCGTCACTTTCTCGTCAATTTTGTAGTCTTCTTGTGCTATTCTGTCCAACCAGCCCATTGGGGTGTATTTTCTGAGAGTTTCTGAAAACGTAACCTTCAATTAATCTAATATTAAAGCAAGCTTAATAAAACTTTTCTTGTATTTTAATCATTGCAAATACATGTACATGAACTACGTACAGTGCCGACAAAAGCGAACTGGAATAGTACTATCAGTCTATCGCTATCGTCCGCGTTCCTAACAATTTATGTAGTAAAGTTTTATTCCATCTGACGAGTTTTAATTACTCATTTCAAAGGAGTGAAAAAGACTTCGGAAGGAAAACATGTTAAAAAATAAAATAGAACTTAGTTATTTGGTATTCGGTCGAAAAGTATAAGACACGCTGAATAGAAGAGAAAGGCGAATAGGCCGAATAACGCATATTAACCGAATATTCGTTGCAAATCTAATTTTAACCAATTTAATTAATCACCGTCTCGGAAATAGACCATGAAACGCCACTATACCCTTTTGTATAACGATTTTCTGGTTTATATCATTCCTACTTTTACCATCAAGTAAGAAATAATAAACACTGAAATACCAATTTTAAAAATAAGTGATAAATGTGTAACATTTTAAACTCTGTAACTTAAGGAACTATACATAAAACAACTTTAACGGTTTCAAGCGCGAATGTTAATTAAGATTTAATATGTCATTGATCGAATTCGATGACGCAGTGTTGTTTGTAAGTCATCGCAATTTTTAACGTAGAATTCAATTTATATAAATGTTTAAAATACCTTTGAATACTGCGTTGAGATACGTGAGTTCGCTGAGTTTAGTCATATCAAATTGTCCATCTGGACTTTCGTCCTTAGCTTGTTTTAACTCCCCGTATAGTCTGTCCTAAAATATTTTGTAAATTCAACATTAACACTGAAGTTATTTAATCTACATTAATGATTATCTTGACAAGGTTTGTTTTAAAGGTAAATAAGATGTATTTTTTTAATAATTGTAAATTAAGAAGCTTTGGCATTCCGTGTAATTAGGAAAGAAATATTTTACTTGTGAAAAAAAATATATATTGTTTTTTTTTAAGCTTACCTGAACTTCTTGGTTATAAGCTAGTTCGTAGGTGGCAAAACTTAACGCGGAACCTGACGTTTCGAATCCTCCAAAAAGAAATATGGCCGCCTGAGCTAAGATAATATCATCGGGTATTTCTGAAAAAGATAGAAATAAAATTAAAGAACAATATGTCTTATTACAAATTGAAACTTAAAACAACTGCAATTAATTCTCTTAGTTTCAGGATTAATCCCTAGAAGGTGTTAGCCATCTTATTTTTTTTACCCCTTTATAAACTTAAGTTGTTATCCACGACGTCGGTCGCGTCCGTTCCCGTTATTCTTGCAAGTTAATCTTAAAAGGTAGACATATAACGTCGCGGACTTTATTTTTAGATCATCTAAAGAGGAATTATTCTCATACACTTTTTGGGTATCTTGAACCTTTTTTCCAACGTACGCCTCGGAAACCCATAATGATAAATTGTTATCCCAAGTTTTGTTCACATTTCCCGCTGTATCTTCGCTTGTATTATTATTAGTCACAGAGCGATGTTTTATAGCCTTCCTCGGTAAATGCTCTAACCAACACAAAATATTATTTTAATTCGAACCCGTAGTTCCTCAGATTAAACAAAGAAACCAACTCTTCAGCTCTATATATTAGTATATATTTTAATAAAGGAGAATTTACTTTTATATTAATCGATTAATTAACAAATTATTGTTATACATCAATATTCAAGTCAAAGTTAATCTAAACGACTTAAATCGATACAAAAGGTAATTGGTATGTTATTAATGTTCTTTTTGTTTAGAGGTATTTAATAAATATCCACAAGCATTTTGATGTCAATTATATAACATACAGCCGGCCTGTTATTCATGTGAGCATAAGAGCGTTATATGCCATTATTATACCTACATTACAAAAGCCGTAGTCTCATATAAAATACGTAGCTTATAAATTGTATCGGCAATCGGCCATGAAAGTTCAGCTTATGCTTATCTCAATAATGAAGTTTACGCGGTAACGATTCGTAATGTCTCCTATGGACGCATTATAGACCACAGTCTAACGAAGCGCGTAGTTTAGCAACTTCACTCTACCATTGGTTCTTTATACGCTTTTCAAACTGGTTTTATATTCTTGTTATAATATAAATTTTAATATTATAAATTAAAAACGTACTGAACGAGTTTTAAATAACTACGATACGATGCCTCATCTAACATATCGCAGTATTTACCTTCGTTATTCTTGGCACTTTCTTCTTTCAGTTTCATGAGGACATCCAGGAAGTCTCTGGATTCATTGCTTCTGTTCTCTTGAAGCCTTTGTTGGCATACTATCTTGAAAATCTTTTCGAAGTATTGTGTCGCCCATTTTGGGAAGAAACTGAATCTGAAAATGTTTATTTATTATGTAATTCATATTCAATAGCCAGATATTACATATTATATGGTTCAAAAATACTTTAAAGCTAAACATTAGCCACTGTTAAAATAAAAAAATATTTTAAATAAGCACCCAAAAAAAGAATTTTAGTTCTTTTTTTGGATTTCTTTTTCTAGTTTATTTATTGTGACTAAATAATTTATAGATTAGTACAATTTGTCTGTTATTTATGGGATATAAAACGATTTCAACAGATTAAATGTACCTACGGCTTTTGAAAAGTTTTCTTTTATAATTCGATACGTGTAATATATTTAAAATGAACGGTTATATCGCGTTTTAAACCGTTAAAATGTTTTATTTAAATGTGTTCTCGCGTAAACTACAGACAGTATTTAATAAACCAGTACGGGCTGGAAAATGCATATAAAATGTGTGTTATATATCCATTTTTAAAGTTAGATACATTTTTATGTTAGTTAGAAAGTTAATCGCGAGCAATAAAACAAATCAACCTGCCATTATACAATGAAACCATTTTGTGGAAGTAGGCATGTCTATCAGTGTAACTTCTAGTCGTTGCGGCGTAAAATAAGTGTTTGGTACGCGTAGATCTAGCGATGTAAACGTAAATCGATTTGTTTTTTACGACATCACATGAATACCTCTAAATTTCAGTGTTATGCAGTGTACTCTAATAGTATGCACGTATTATACATATGAACCTTCCTTTTTAATTATTCTATTACGAAAGCTGATTTTGAAGTTCCTAAGATTTAAACATATATAGGGATAGACAGACAGCGACAGCGACTTACTTTTATGTTGTTGTTATATTGTTTTTTGGGCCTGTCTTTGAAAACTCATCTACAAAAGCCACTTTAGTTTTAAGACAAAATGTACTTGACATTCTGCGAATTAAAATAAACATTTTTTTTTGGTAAGTCATAATAACAATAATGGTTAATTGCAACATAATTATATATAATCGGAGTTGATACTAAGTCATAGTGTGTAATTAAATGCAACTTTGTTCCAAACGCGTGTTATTAGTTTAATAGGTACGGTACTAATAGAGTAGATGGAAAATCACTGTACTATCTCTCTGTATGGAATAAATATACATCCCTGTTTAACGGGTTTAATTGGTAATTAAAACGATGTATGGCTATTAATCAACGGGTCGTTGTTCCATTGGTTCCAACATATTTCGAATCAATCTGTAATTTTTCTGAAACACGTTTTATAACGTCTGGTTACCTGGATGTTAAATGAATGGTAGGAATATTTAAATAAAACACAGTAACGGTTTAAAACGCGATATATTAGTTAAACTTATTTGAAAATGATTTTTAACTTCGGTCCGTCGAAGTTGGTATTTGGCGAAACTGGCCGGGTCCTTACAGAATTGACTAACGGTGTCTTCGCGTTTGCCGGTATGCTGTTTATTGGGATCCAGAGTTTTTAATATGGGATCCCAGGTGTTTGATAATTTGAGGCCGTCCTCCCTATTGAAAATTCGGTGTTTTTTGATTTCAATTGCTTCGAATTGATTCCATTGCGAGGATTTTTGGCTACAAAGCAAGGACATTAATAACTTCTATATTAAAAAAAATGCGTTTTAAACCGTTAAAATGTTTTGGCGTGTAACACTCGCGCAAATTACAGTTAATACTTTTGTCTTAATTTTTATTAGAAGTTTTAGCTATTTCAAAATAACCTTCTGAATTCGTCAAGCTATTCTTACCTGAAGATATCGACCAATGAAGGGAAGAAGAAGATACTAGTCCAACTGAGACCTCTGAAGAAGTCGAATTCCATGAAAGCAGTGGTGATGGTCCTCATTGGATCTTCACCAGTTAGTGTGGAGTTAGTCTCCACCCCGAACGATGTAGTGGCAGAAATATCAGTTGTAAAATCAGTGAACAGATACTGTAATGTAATATCACAAAAATATTGAATGATGTCATTATTTATAGCAACACACATAAACTATATATAAATATTAGCTGAAAATAGTTAATAATTAAACTATTAGAGGAAAATATAATTACAAATTATAGAGTGTAATGGGCGGTCTTATCGTTATAGAGCTAACTTTTTCAGGCAACTCTTATTATAAGGTATATAATGTGAACGTGCAGCTTTTGCGAAGCTTAACAATACAGAAAAATAATTATTGTCGTATACATTGCAAGATATACTTATAAACTCAATTGTAAAGCACAAAAAAATACTGCTTTTCTCAATAGGTTTGTTTAGACAGCACACGTAGATCTTAAAACTACTTGTAAAAAATGTTTTTGTCCTGTTTCCCAGGAACGGACGATGAATTATGAATATAATTGTACTGTCTAATAAGCAACATGACGTGACATATACTTAACAAGAAAAAGTAATTACATACAATAAATAAATTAAATATGTTAAACATATAAAAATCTTTTGAATTGCCCAAATCCAAAATCGTGTTTTCTTTTCAATTGCCAAAATCCTCCCACCGAGCAACTCTGTCTAAACATTCTTAAGAATTGAATAACGGCCCGACATTTCGCGTTTTTAACCGTTAAGTCTTTTATATGTGTACTCCTACACCTCCAGCACCTTGTGAATCAAACTTAACTTAATAAATTTACCAGACAAAACAAAAAAATAGTTTTGATAAAAGTCGTAAAAATGTGCTTTATTCACCCTTAGGTTAAACTTAGTCTTGTCTTCGGTATTCTTGATGCGGTGTATCAACTGTTGCGATTTACTATTAAGAAGTGGTTGAAAATTCCTCAGTTTAGATGCCGTAAAGGTGCTGGTCAAGCGACGTCGCATTGATGACCACAAGGGATCCTGCAAAATATGTTATCATCAGGTTCAAGTACCACAGAAGCGCAACAACTGACTAATTCAATGAATTATTAAAAACAACGTAATATATATATATATATATATAGTTTCGATCTCCGCCTGGTCTTACAGGTTTCATATCTTCTAAAACATGTTAGACTTCGCTCAAAAAGTTTGAAATTATTAATAATATAATTATTAATATTAAATAAAACACAGTTAACTTATTCACAATTTATATTACCCACTACCCCCCCGGGGTCGCCCCATAAACACGGCTGCTATAAGGGTCAATATACGCTATTTGAATTTCAATGTTCCTTAGAAAAAACAGGTGTGAAATTTATTGTATTTTTGTTTCTTTGTGTTTAAATAATAAATAATATTGCCTTTTTTTGGGACACAAAATGTTGTTATGATAATTAGTCAATTTATGGAATTTTTAGATAATGTTAAAACGTTTTTAATTATGTTTTATTTCTTAATGATCGTATGCTATTATAAACAATGCAACATATTTTATCAAAATAAACTGTATAAAAAAAGTATTAATATAAAATAAAATAACTATTTCGCGTATCATGTTACAATATCGTCAGTTCATCTGGCGCAATTCAATTAAGTAAAATTTAGATAAAAAATGCCCAAGGTATTTTTTAGCCTTTAACTACGCGCGTACGTTATTGTGAAGTTTGTGAAGCAAAATTCAAACAAAATGTTGTCAGATAGCAATTGAACTTCGGAAAGCTTGTTTGAGCCAGTAGTTGGAGTATTTCCTTTGGTAAGAACAGTTTTCGGTATTTTATCGTTATCAAATTGTATATTAGTCCATGCAATGTTTATTGTGTCCAGAATTCATGAATTACATAGAACTGTAGTGAGTTAAGGGAATGATGTTTCCGTGGGTTATAGGTAATTTTGTCACTTCTTTGGCGTCACATCTCTGGCACTTACCATGCCAGAGGAAATACACTATCACCAGAGAACTGACAAAATTACATTTTAATCCATATTTAATATGTTAAGGTTAAATTTGATTTGTTCTAGATATAGTAACATAGTCAGACATCTTGGTGAATGTTTTAAAAAAGCAAACACGGTAGAAGAGATTACAAAAGAAAAGCGCTAAGCTCAAATATTACGCTACGAAAATGTCAAAAAAGTTTTATCGGTTCGCGGTGAAAAAAGCTTACTTAGTTAAAAAAAGACAATATAAAAATATAAAATAATACACAACTAATAATACAGAAAAAAAATTAAGGCTATCAGAAAATATAGAGAGAGTATTGAATCACATGGATTTGAGTCAGTCAAAAATATAAAATTACACGCTTTTTGTCGCCTACAGCTATTTTGGATTGTATCGTCAAAATTATGGAATTTTGGCTTCCCTAAAACTGATAAACATCAAGAGTTTTTCAAGCTGTCAATCAAGCTATGCTTAATTGTTGATGTTGCGGCCAATACAATACAATTAAAACTATTTTATGTATGAATATCTTAACTGCAAAAGACATATATTATTATGAGTTTGATAATTCTGTTTTCACCAAATATTTTTCATAATAATGTATTAAAGATTCGAAAACTGAAAAACGCAGAATTTGAAAATATACCATAATCATATTAGATGGTACGTAGCTTCTGGTACACAAAAAAAACAAATAGCGTATATTCACCCATAAAGCACCCGAAATGTCGGGCTGTAGGTAAAATACATTATATAAAATGTAACTGTAGTGTTTGAGTAGAACCTACAGTCCTTAGTACGTATGACACTGTCTCGTGCCTACTGTGTGGCGGGGTGCGCGGTCATTGCAGCGAGAGCCAAGGGGCGAGAGCGGACGTGTCGCCTGCGCACACAGTGAGTTGCCGAGCCAGTGAGATTGCATTATAAAGGCACTACAAGTGGCGACGAGGACAAAGGTCAGACTATTTAATTTATATAATTCAAATTGAAATAAAATAAAAGGGGTCAATGTACTAAAAAAAAAAGAAATAATAATGATAAAATCATGAACACTCAAACCATTGTGAAATTACCTACAGGCAATTACAACCGCTCAAGAGTACAAGTGCATTTGTTTATTTCATTCGTGACTCGTTTTATTAAAACTATGTTAATATCGCTCATTGTTGTTTATAGTTGTCGAATTTAAGTAGCTACTGCCTATATTGGCATAATAGTGTCCTTATCGATGGTGTCGCAAACAGGTTGTTACAAATTTTAGTTTTAGACTCCGAATAAATAACTACCCGCCGGTTCGCTGCAACTTCTAAACAACATAGTGCGGGTGCAGATGTTCATAATTATTATTCAATGTAAGTGCGGACCCGATAAAAGTTTTTATTGTGTTTCTATAATAATAATAATTTATTTGTCGGACCATAAATCCATACATTAATTTAATTAATTCTAATGTGCGTTAGTTGGGTTAGTAACAATTATAACTTAAAATGTATATTAGAATGTGTTAGTCACTAAAATTAAGTAGACAGAATACATAGAATAGGTGCTAGGCGCTAAGGGGGAGCATGGACGTCACTCCATCGTTTTAGCAGCACCGTATACTTTTCACACACTGCCTCCAGAATGCTTATGGTGCTTTGTCGAACTCGATACATGAGGGAAGCTACACGCTTGCGGATGATGGCGTGGAAAGCAAAGTCTATGGGTCGGTATACAATATAGTTACTATTTATGTTTATTACAATTATACCTTAAGTTATATTAATTACGTACCCTCTAAAATGTTACAAGTGGTTTTAGACATTTATTAAAAAATGTACACATTCACTCATTACTAGGTTAACTAAATATTACATTCAAATTTGGACAGTATTGTTATTTAACACAACTATAAGAAGGAGGTAGTTGAACAGTATGTCTTGGTATTATTATCTAGCTTTGACGTCGTCGGCGCGAACGCAGCTGATCGAGTAAACATACAAAGATAAGCGATACCAGATGGTGCATTCGCACATCACATTAAGTTTATTATTTTTCTGTATTATTTCTAGACAGAAACATCTAGTTTTATAGTTTCATGAATTTGATTTACTTATAGTATTTTCTGTTTTTGCTTGAGATATATTTTTTATTTGTTGTAGGTTGTATCTGTGTGCGAAATTTACTTGTTAATTATAATAAATTTAATTTACATGTTTTTTAGTAAATGTTCTTTTATTTTTTGTTTAAATAATTTGTAGGAGTTTATTTGTTTAATTTTATTTTGGTATATTGTTATATATTTTGGCGTATATAAGTACCCACTATATCAACTTAAAATGGAATTGCAGACGTTTTTATATAAATCTACTAGTGTAAAATGTTACATCGCCCACTTCTATAATTTTGTGCATACTCATGTATAGCTAGTTAACTCCAAAAAAATGGTACAATGATACCCCCATTCGATTGGAAATAAGTGGTACAGTGATACCTCCATTAAATTGGAAATCAATGGTATAAAATACCCCCATTCAATTGGAAATTTGTGGTTAATTACACCTCCAGTAAATTGGGAGTCAATGGTATAAAATACCACCATTAAATTGGAAATTTGTGGTTAATTACACCTCCATTCAATTGGGAGTCAATGGTATAAAATACCACCATTAAATTGGAAAACATGGTAGTTTATACCACCATTAAATTGGAAAACATGGTAGTTTATACCTCCATTAAATTGGGAATCTGGCACGTAAGTACCACCATTAAATTGGAAATACATGGTAGTTTATACCTCCATTAAATTGGGAATCTGACACATAAGTACCACCATTAAATTGGAAAACATGGTAGTTTATACCTCCATTAAATTGGGAATCTGGCACATAAGTACCACCATTAAATTGGAAAACATGGTAGTTTATACCTCCATTAAATTGGGAATCTGGCACATAAGTACCACCATTAAATTGGAAAACATGGTAGTTTATACCTCCATTAAATTGGGAATCTGGGACATAAGTACCACCATTAAATTGGAAATACATGGTAGTTTATACCTCCATTAAATTAGGCATCTGGCATAGAAGTACCACCATTAAATTGGAAATTTACAAACAAAATCGCGAAAGGTTTTATTATTTTTTATGTCGCGCCTTTCAGCTCATGACAAATCTACCTACATTGGAAAAGTTGGATTTGGAGGGAGATAGTCATTAGGCCATTTGGAAAAAGTGGAAACGTTCATTAAATATATACTAAGAGGCTACAGATATAACAACACCGATGAAAAAAGGGCGACACTTCTACTTCTTGGTGGATCGGGCCTTCAAGAAATTTTCTATAGTTTCCCGGGTGCCAATGCTACACCCTCTGGTGATAATAATGTTTTTGACATAGCTATTCAGAGACTCGACGATTATTTCACTCTAAAGCAAAGCAAAATTTATGAAAGACATTTGTATCGTTTAATAAGACAAGACGAAGGTAAAATATTCGATAAGTTCTTAGTAAGGCTGCGGAATCAAGCTGAAAAATGCCAATTTGATAAGCCGGACGATCACCTAATCGATCAAATAATAGAGAAGTGCCTCTCTGTTGGTTTGTGAAAGAAAATTTTGACAATACGAGATAGTGTAACATTTAGACAAGATAATCACAGAGGCTAATACTCTAGAAGTTGTAAAACGTAAATTGGAAGAATATGGTCAGCTAAATAAATGAACAGAGGTGCATGCAGCGGAGTCTTCGAAAAATAAAGGAAGATTTAGCAGGAGTAGGTCCAGGTCAAATTCAAATAAAGGGTGTGGCAGATGTGGAAATTCGAGACACTTGTCATGTTAAAAAACTGCCGGCGTTAGGCAAAGTATGCTATGCATGTGGAAAAATAGGCAAGCAGTATTACAAGACAGGTATTCAGAAAAAGGAAATTGGAAGGAACTGATAGGAAGCGATGGAAAAACCTAGTAAATATCCCAGCCTAGAATCAAGGTAAAGTTTAAAAAATATAACAGATGATGAAGTCGATTATGTTTTTAATATCAATAATGATGCAAATATAGAACGTGATGTGGGTATAAAAAAAACTAAAATGTTGATTGATTCCGGATCTAAATATAACCTAGTCACTGACAAAATATGCATTGCACAACAAAAGCTTTAAAAAAGAAATGAGTTGCAAAGCTTTTTGGGCTTCTTAACAACGACGACAGAGCCATTGAAACAATTATTTAGGAAGAAATTTGGCAAAAATGCTAATATCGAGGAGTTATGGACCCAAGAACAGAATCAGGCTTTTGAGAACTTAAAAATAAATAATCTCTGACCAAAATTCAAAACCTTGGATACTACGACATAAACGACAAAACCCAGGTTATTGCTGATGCCAGCCCTGTCGGATTAGGCGCAGTTTTGGTTCAAATTGATGCCAACAGACCCCGAATTATTGCTTTTGGGAATTGCACATTAACCGAATGCGAGCGTAGATACAGCCAAACTGAAAAGAGGCTTTGGTTTTGGTTTGGGCTATAGAGCATTATAATATATTTCTATTCGGCAAGGAGTTCGATTTAATCACTGATCATACACCCTTAGAGGTTTTGTTTGGAGTGAGGTCAAAACGTTGTGCTAGGATAGAGAGGTGGGTACTACGTTTACAGGCGTATTGGTATAACATCATATACAAGCCTGGAAAGATGAACATCGCAGATCCATTATCACGACTGTGCATAATCTCAGATTGCAAAAAGACCAATGACGACGAACATGTCAACCAGATTGTAGAAAATGCTAAACCATGCGCAATTTCTTTGACCGAAATTAAAATGCATTCAGAGCAAGATTCGGAAATACGTTAAGTAAGGCAAGGTATCTACGACAAGAACTAAGAAGATAATGTCATAGGATATAAGATCTTCGAAAATTAATTGTACTTTTTCGGTGATATACTCCTAAGAAGAAATAGAATAGTTATAGCATCCGTATTTCGGAAAAGAGTTCTAGACGCTGCACACGAAGGTCACCCTGGGATTGTCGGCATGAAATGACGGTTACGGACCAAAGTATGGAGGCCAAAACAGACAAGGATTCTGGATGCCTGGTATAGAGTTGTAAGGGCTGTACTTCAGTAGAATTACCAATTCCGCCAGCTCCTATGAAACGTCGGGAACTCCTAGATGCACCTTGGGTGGATATAGCAATGGATTTACTAGGGCCATTACCCAGCAATGATTATTTATTAGTCGTAGTAGATTATTATAGCCGTCACAAGGAAGTGAAGATAACGAAGACCATTACTAGTTGTAATAATCAAGCTATTGAAAGAAATATTTGGCAGCCTAGGTTATCCATCATCAATAACGGCAGATAACGGCCGACAGTTTGTGAGTGCAAAATTTAAAGATTTTTGCAACGAATGTAATATAAAACTTTTTAGTACAGTGCCTACTGGCCTCAACAAAATGGCGAAGTAGAGAGACAAAACAAAAGTATTGAGAAAAAAGATTTACAAGATAGCTTGAATGACTTCCTCAAGATGTATAATTCAACACCTCACTCTGTAACAGGGAAAACACCAACAAAATTGTTTTACAAAAGACAGAACTTAGAGGCAAAAATAAAGAACAAAAAGAGAGAGGAAAAGAACACGGAGACAAAAGAAGAAAGGCACAGAATGTGGATTTGAGCGGAGGAGACAGAGTTTATGTAAACCAAATGTCACAAGCTTGCCCCAAATTATAACCCAGCACCACACATACATGACAGACTCTGAGGAGAAACATATTACCTTTAAAGAGAGTAGAAGGCGAGTGGATATCAATGCAAGATATTTAAGAACCTAATCTGACAAACAACAGTAGAAATAAAAAAAAACAGTGAGTTACAGTAAATTGTTAACTTATATACTATTAAGAGTAATCAAGGGCAATTGTATCAAATGATTAAAAAAGTTTTTGATAAGAAAGAGATGTAGTGTTTGAGTAGAACCTACAGTCCTTAGTACGTATGACACTGTCTCGTGCCTACTGTGTGGCGGGGTGCGCGGTCATTGCAGCGAGAGCCAAGGGGCGAGAGCGGACGTGTCGCCTGCGCACACAGTGAGTTGCCGAGCCAGTGAGATTGCATTATAAAGGCACTACAGTAACTAATATATTTCGCGTTAAAAGTGTTATTGTGTGTACTACTTGCGTAAATTACGTTGGGTGGTCGAAATTTTGGCAGACAGACCCCGACTGTCATTTACAATTGAAATAACAATCGGTAAAAACTTTTTCTTCAGGTTATAAATCTACTTTTATCGTACCCTCAAAAATTACTTTTGATCGGCAAATCTTATGACTGAGAATGGCATAAGGTAAGGTAGTTGAAGAAAATATGAAGTAAACAAATGTTTGTCCTATATAAAAATTGCTTTCAATCAATAATTATTAATCTTTCGCGTGATGTTTACCTTGTTCCTTGTTTTATTTAATTGCATGGATATAGAAATCATTAAAAACAGAATTAATTTCTCATTCTAAAATAGTTTTTCTGAATAATTCGCTTTGAAAATGGTAATTAATGTTTTTTCCTTTGAAAAATGTGTTTATTATTATTTGAAGACCCTGTCTAGTAGAGTTACTTGATTTACAAACGTTGCGATAACGATATAATCTAGACTTTTTTATATATTGTGAAAAATATGATTTTTTTAAATTTTATCTGAAATGACGTGCGAGATTCGGTACCTCAATTTGTAGAACTACACAAACGCCGTGGTCGAAGATCCGAGTCCGATGTGTGATACATGAGCATGTAAAAGAACTAAAATTGTAACCGTGAGAAAATTCATAGACCTTATTCAGCATTCCGAACTTATTGCTCATTTTTATTAAAATTGACGCCTGCATTGCTATTTTTACAATTCTATGTTCATCATTCTAATTAATTTCCGTTAGTAAAGATTTTCTTCAAGGTTTTTCCTCGTACAGTTAATGTTTATTCAAAGACGCTATTTAACTACTACATCTAGGGCAAAGTGAAGAACTTCCTTACCCCTGTATATAGTAATTAATTTTAGAAACACGTTGGACCCGGTGGGGTTTTGACCCACAACCCGTTGACTATCATCATAGCATCGAACCGCAGCAGCCTCGGCTGTTATACTTTGCATTTTAAACTATTTAAAGTGTTTTATTTAACTGACCTGATACTTACGTATAGCTTGGTTATTGTGCTTTAAAAAAGAAAACAAATACTTACATTACTAGTAAACAAATTGAGGGAACCAATAGGATCCGAAGAGCCAGAACTTAGAAATCTGTCTCTAAAGCTTGGAAAGTCTTTGACGAGAATGTTCTTGGCTATCTCCGGTGAATTGATGATCAATGCTGGTCTCCAGAACAACCATATTCCGATATACGGCGTCTTAAATTGCTGGTACATTTCAATCATCCAAGTGGCCTATTAAAATATGATTAATGTCAAGTAACGAGTTGTAAGTGGACGATAGTAATAACTAAGGTTTTCTAAAGTTAAATGTCTTTAAGAGTAGTAGTTAGTTAAAAAAAAAACTAAATTATGAAATTATATATCATTCTATATTAAAAACTTAATTTTAAGTTGTGATCTGTTGCTCCGGTGTTTCAATTGTGTACGTATGCCGGCCGTAAAATGTGCGGGGTTCAAACCCCGAGGAATCACAATAAATAGTTTCGCGTTGATTGGAGCGCATAAGTTTAAAATTGAAGAAATATTAAATTCATAAATTTTAGTATTTTTTTAAACCACAATGCTTCCTATTTTATTTATATATTTACTTAATTATCTTTAATATTGTCTCATTTAAAACAAAGGCAAAACTATAAACAAAAAATAACAGTTATTTATATTTACTCACGGGATTCTTCTTTTGCAAAAAGGTAAGGCTGCCCATGATTGGATGAGGCGGTAGATAGGCCACACCACGTTTTACCCAGAACTGGTTTAGGTTTTGCCAGCGAAGATAGACCCATGATGATAACGATACCAGAATCACGCCTACTAAGTACGCGAACATCTTGCAAATGTCTGCGAAATCAGTTATTTTTATATTAACTTCAACTGTTTGTTAACATTACTACTTCTTAACAACACATAGTAGCTATATTCTGCTTTGTGGCTCGCCTTTTAATGTCAGAGAAATATCAAGCAAATCAAATACTGGATTATCTCAGTTTTTTGTAGGTTTATATTACGACATATGTTTTTAGATTAACTGAGAGAGAACATGCTATATCTCAAGAGATACGATACAAAGAGAAAACTTTCACGAATTTTTCTATTTTTGAAATGCTAATAACTAAATAAAAATTACAGATGCAAGTTTTTTTCTCGATTTGTAAAAATTCAGTCGCTTTTGTAATAGACAAAGTACAACCACTTGGTGTAGTCTATAGTTTACGCAAGTAGTACACATTTAAATAAAACACTTTTTAACGGTTTAAAGAGGCAAGTATATTAGTTGACGTATTTATCATTTATTTTAAATACGGCCCGACGGGGAAAGGCGATGATAAAATAAAATTAGCACATCAAATACCTTATAAGCACTTAAATGGACAAAAAGGAATTCCCAAGAAATTAAGTATGATATTACTGAGTTATAATTTACATGAGAAAAGTTATAATTTACCTGAATTACTTACTGGGATGATTGTTCTTATAATTTTCTTTAATTTGAAGGGTTTTTATTATCAACATAATAATATAGATGAAAGTTTTAGGAAACACTAATATATAGAATTTGTAATAAATGTCTATCGCTTGTTTTACATGTTAAAAAATATACTCAATGTAAGTTGTATAATGTTATTTGTTTCTATTTTCAGTTTATCTCGATGATACGTAAAAGCGTTAATTATAGCTAATACAAACAATAATTTGCTAATTTCTAGCTATAGCTAAATTGTGTAGTCGTTTTTTATTTCACCAGAAAATAATATAATGATTTTTAATCAACTTATACGAGTTATTAGTGTTATTAGTATATGTTAATAGTGCATATCAAATTGGACCATTTTAGACGGGGTGAAATGCAAATTATATTTCAGTAAACAAAATCATTTGTGAACTGATATTTCGGGTGGTTTCTATTGTATTTTATTATGAAAAAGAGAGACAGCCAAACGTAAGGCTTAATAGAAAGTGAAATATCACACCCATATACGTACGTATATAACATAAAGGCGTGGAAAAAACGAGAAGAACTGACAAGAAACTCGCCGCCACTCCTTTTAATTGCCAAGTTTTTATTACGATTTTCTAAAATTCCTCACGCACTTAATGTGTACATCATTTTCATTGTTAAAGGGGTTCCTTCATACTCCAATTTTGTCATTTAAATATTCATTTACGTTATAAGAACCCTTTCAAGGTTCCAGTTTTTGTTTAACATACGATTTGAACTTATTTATAGATAGTGTTTGCACTTCACTAGGGACTTTATTAAAATACCGTATGCAGTTACCTTGAAACGAATTACTTGTTTTATGGAGCCTTTTGGTCGGTACACTTATTTTAGCCTTATTGCGTGTATTTTATTGATAGAACTGCCATTTGTTTTAAAATTATTTTCATTTTTTCGAGCAAACAAAACATTTTCATGAATATATTGACTCGCTGATGTTAGAATATTCAATGATTAAAATTTATCTCGGCCTTACTGTCGTGGGGAAAAACCACAAATCGCTCGAATAGCCCGTTTCTGTAATAATATCGGTTCCATAAAAGGATGCTGTAACACTATGGAAATTGCTAAAATAGACAAGCTTGGCTGTATTTTCATCAATAAGCTGTCGTATCTTTTTTACAGCATAGGCTTAGTTTATTCGAAACATTTTTATATATGGTCCCCACTGGACTTTACAGTCAAGACTTATACCTAAGAATACAGCATTTTCGACAAAACCTATTTTCTCATCTTTTATTTTTAAATTATCAATTGTATTGCATTTAGCGTTTGCTGTTACAAACTTAATGCGTTTAGTTTTCTTTTCATTAAGCAAGAGATTATTTGTATTAAACCACTGAACGACTCTGACGATAGCACTGTTTACATCGTCTACTGATACATTTTCGCGTTTCACACTAAATAAAAGTGAAGTCACACATCAGCAAACAGTACTATCCACCTACCACAACCGGCTAGTTTTAAAGATGGGCACGCCAAGAGCGCGTGCTTTGTAACCAGATATTTCTAGAGGTCTCATATGTTTAGGAAAGTTACAAAATCGTTCATAAACAGCTTATAATAATAATAAGATAAGCTTCGATTAGATTAGCCAAATATATATTTAGCTAATCTAATGTTTTACTGCAGACTTAAACAATTGTAAAGCATAATTAATTACGTAAAGTTAATTTTAAGTTCCTCAATATTGTTGTGAACTGCTTAGACCGCCTCTGTATTAGGATTAAACGTCTTGCCTAGCATTGCGTTAAGCGCGAGACTTTCTGGGTTCGAATTTCGCGGTATTAAGAGTCTATTTCGTTCAGGAAGAGTTCACAGAAGTTCCCTAAACAACTTGAATGTAAATAAACTGATCGATGAAACGGTCACATGAAGGAAATCGGTATTTAAATTTTACGTACTTCGCAGTCAACTGCAGTATAAGAATCAAACGTTTTGTTCAAACAAATCGGTTTTTCAGGGCTAAAGGCTAGGTTTTAAGTGGTATTATAAGGTTAACGAACTGACAAGTAACTAATATTAAAAATGTATTAACACTCGAAAGTTATAGGAATTATAACAACATAGCATACAAAGATAAAATATTTCAATAGACTACCGAATCAGGAACACGCGAGATTAACAATGCCAAATACTCATTGTCACGCCGGTATTTCAGATGCATGGACAGAAAACAAGATACGTAACGATTTTTAGGGTTAAAAAATATTCAATGAAATGTTTTGATAAACAATATTAGAAGGAAATATATCAGGCATTGTCTGCTGTTTCCACGAGTAGAACACATTTAAATAAACACTATCGGTTTACAATGCGAAATATATTAGTATAATTTATTTACTATTACGTTCTAATAATTGTAGATTTAAAGGAGATTCGTTATTTAAAAGAATCTTCTTTATTAGGAAATTATCTTATAAGAGTTAAATAATTTGCTTAGAATTTAGTTTCTAGGGAGAAAATCGACGTGCAGGGGTTGTCCGGGTACTAAGAAAAGTCCTCGCTTCTCAAACTCCACATTGTTTGGTATTGGCGCGCCGGGCACTGGCACGATTTTGAAGTTCAGAATGAGATATGCTAATCCGTATCTTACTGTCGTCTGTCCGAATCTCTTTCCTGGAAAAAAAATGCTTATCGAATTTCTATTTGACTTTCTTTCATCGACGTTCAATAGATATTTTTTTATTAAGTGCACTTAAAATACGAATACGAATCGAATTTTTAATAGTATAACCATTAATTATTCTCATCAATTTCATAATTAGTTATTTAAATTAACTAGCACAAATTGTATTAACTTAATGTAAAAAGAGGAGAAATGACAAGGGGTAGTTGCCCTATTTGTGCTATTGTAGTCCGATAATAAAAATAATAAAGAAACTCAAATATATCAAATACGACGTAACCACTGAAAGCCGTCGTAGAATGAAGAAAATATTACCTATACAACTCCTTGGTCCTTCCCCGAAGGGCAAATACGTAAATGGCTTAATTTCAGCTTCGTTCTCGGGCAGGAATCTGTCAGGATTAAATCGCTCTGGTTCTGGATAGTATTCTTCGTCATAGTGCATCCCGATAGCGTTTACATAGATAGGAGTTCCTGCTGGAATGGTCACTTTCTCGTCAATTTTGTAGTCTTCTTGTGCTATTCTGTCCAACCAGCCCATTGGGGTGTATTTTCTGAGAGTTTCTGAAAACGTAACCTTCAATTAATCTAATATTAAAGCAAGCTTAATACAACTTTTCTCATATTATAATCATTGCAAATACATGTACATGAACTACGTACAGTGCCGACAACAGCGAACTTGAATAGTAACTATCAGTCTATCGCTATCGTCCGCTATATAGCAATTTATATAGTCCACTTTATTCCATCTGACGAGTTTTGATTACTCATTTCAAAAGGGTGAAAAAGACCGCAAATTGAAAACATTTAAAGCAATAATATAGAACTTAGATATTCGGTATTCGGCCGAAAACTATAAGAGACGCCGAATAAGCCGAAACACGAATATTCGTTGCAAATCTAACTTTAACCAATTAAATTTATCACCGTCTCGGAATAAGACCCCGAAACGCCACCATACCCCTTTGTATAATAATTTTACTGGTTTATATCATTCCTACTTTTATTATCAAGTATGAAATAATAAACACTGAAATATGTCATTGATCGAATTCGATGACTCGGTGTTGTTTGTAAGCCATCGCACTTTTTAACGTAGAATTCAATTTATATATAGAGATTACAAGTGAATTAACATTTGAAATGTTAATGCACTTGTAATGTTTCAAATACCTTTAAATACTGCATTGAGATACGTGAGTTCGCTGAGTTTAGTCATATCAAATTGTCCATCTGGACTTTCGTCCTTAGCTTGTTTTAACTCCCCGTATAGTCTGTCCTAAAATATTTTGTAAATTCAACATTAACACTGAAGTTATTTAATCTACATTAATGATTATCTTGACAAGGTTTGTTTTAAAGGTAAATAAGATATTTTTTTTTAAATTGTAAATTAAGAAGCTTTGGCATTTCGTCTAATAAAGAAAGGAATATTTTACTTTTTAAAAATCGAAAATAAATTGAAAAAAATTTCGACTCGGGCAGCACTTGAACCGGCACCATCAGCGTTCCGTGTTGTTGCTCTACCAATTGAGCTACCGTGTCATAGACCTCATCGTCGATTTTTTTCAACTTATTGATACATATTTTACTTGTGAAAAAAAAAATATTGTTTTTTTTTAAGCTTACCTGAACTTCTTGGTTATAAGCTAGTTCGTAGATGGCAAAACTTAACGCGGAACCTGACGTGTCGAATCCA